GCAGCTCCAGGGAACATCCCTTCCTGTGCCCCTGGCTCTCCAAGCTGGACATCACAGAGGGTGTGAAGGGCTGTTGAGAGGGGGTCCTGCCCCCCCTCTGGTTCCCATTGGGTTCTCCATTGATGAGAAGCTCGTGGGGCCATGGGCTGGGGCTCAGGAGCTGGAGCCTGGCAGGCTGGGGCAGTGGGGAGGAGAAGAGGGACAATGTTCTGCTGCTGGTGCCAATGCTGCCCACTGTGGAAGGAGCTGGTCCTCTCTCCTGTGCCACATCCATGTGTCCTCTTTCCCCTCACAGGCGTTCCTGCCCTTGCTGAAGAAGGCTGCCCAGGAGAGCCCGATCTCAGGGCTGAGCTGCAGCAAGGCAGCCATCGTCAACATGTCCAGCTATGCAGGCTCCATTGAGGATGTCTACGTCTGGGAATTTGGACAAGTTGTCTCGTACCGCTGCAGCAAGGTACTGCCAGAGTGTGCTGGGGGGAGCCCAGACCTTTTCCCCTCCAAATCATAGTGCATGGCTTCCAACTTTCTCCTCAGTCCATGTCCTCTGCTCTGTGACTGAGCTCCTATCAGTCCCTGGGTACTCTCACAGGACAGTCGTGTGCCTGGCCTCGTGTCCTGCCTCAGAGGGACATGAAGGGATAGGACCTCGACTAGGCAGCATCATGTACCCCAGGAGCTGGCTCCAACTGCCCTATCCCTGCCCCAGCTGTGAGACCTGCACACATCCCCTTGCAGCCCCCCTTCCCCTCCCACCACCATCCCTGCCCTGTGTCCCCACAGGCTGCTCTGAACATGCTGACCAAGTGCCAGTCCCTGGCATACAAGGAGCACGGCATCCTCTGCGTCACTTTCCACCCTGGCTGGGTGCAAACTGACATGGGGGGCTCAGGAGAATCATTTAAGGTAAGAGATCTTCTGGCTGTGGTCTGGAAGAACCTCTTCATTTAGGAAGGCAGAGCTTCCTGGAGACTGAACAGTCCCAGGCATGCTGGGATCTCTCATGCCAGAGAACCCCAAGCCCTGAGCAATGATCTGCTCCAGGGCAGACCCTGTCCTGACCTGGGGCACACAACTGTTTCTCCCTCTTCCCCACAGCCCCCCCTGACAGTTGATGACAGCGTGCAAGGGATGTTGAAGGTGCTTTCCTCCATCTCTGAGAAGGAGACTGGGACCTTCCTGAACTGGGAAGGGAAGGTCTTGCCATGGTGAGCTGCTGGTTCAGGATTCTCACTGTGGGGACCTTTGCTGCTGCACAACGTTGTGCCTGTGTCTTAATAAATTAGTGTCTGTAAAGAGTAAGTAGAACTGTGTGAGCCTTCTTTCTCTTGGTCTTCTATTAACTATCCCTGTGAGAGTCCTCATTAACGCTTTGAGAGAAGCTCATGGGCTTCAATGGGTCATGTGCAGCACTTGAGGCTCCATGATGAGCAGAGATGCTCACAGTCTCTCTGGGACTCACCATGGGACTGATGGAGATGGGTGAGGGACCCAGCGGGCACACTGGGGCCCTGGGGTCCATAGGGGCACCGGGGATCCCCTGCTGCATATCCTGGGATGGTACTGGGGGGGCTGTGGGCTGCCCAGCATGTGGAGCTGGGAGCTCTCACCCCCACCAAGTGCTTTCTTCTCCCCCAGCACTGAGTCCAACCTACACCCAGGGCCAGCAACAGCAAAAGCAGCTCTGGAGTCATCAAAGCACAATTTTGAAGGCATAAAATTGTGGGGAAACACGGAGAGGGATTATGATCAGGCAGCAAGGTGGCAGTGGGGTTCTGGGGATGATGGATGAGGGGCCCTGGGGACATTCCAGGTTAGCTGGACCTCCCTGTCTGGATCCTTCCCACAGCACCACTCAGCTACCCTTGGAGATCCTCACGCTGTTTATTTTTAACTGAATTCCCCCAACTTTTTGTATCACACACGATGTTAAAAAGTTTAATTCCTCACCTCCTGTATAACTTAGATTTAGCTGAAACTATTATAACCCTGGGTTTGCTGGATTATAGTGCCGTGGCCCTGCTGCATGACACCCCTCAGGAGCGCCGTCCTTCGCAGCAGCCTCGCTCCCTGGCTGCCATTCCAGCACATTGCCAGTGTTTTTGCACAGTTCAGGACCCTGTTCCATACTGCTGGAATTCTGAGCAGCATCATCCAAGCCCGTTTGTGGCCCCCTTGATAAAACAGCGCGGATTTGTTCGCCGGGCTGTGCCGGGTGTCGGTGCCAGGGGAGGGGTCGGAGCGGGCGCTCCCCTCCCCACGGTCCCCGCGTGTGGCAGGACACGTTCTGCTGTGATCGTATAGTGGTCAGTACTCTGCGTTGTGGCCGCAGCAACCTCGGTTCGAATCCGAGTCACAGCAACACTTTTTTGCCGAGCGCCGGGACGGGGGAGGCTGCGAGGAGGTTGGTGTGGAAAGAAGCGACGCCCTGGGAAGGGGCCACAAGCTTGGGTGGTCTCTCTGCTGAGAGTGACCAGACTCACACCAGCAAGGATTACCCGACCTGTAGTCACTGGCCAGGGTCTCTCCAGTGAGGCTTCAGTGACACTTTTGGGAAAGCATTCCAGCTTCTCCATTTTCCAGGCAAACTTGAGAATGATCACCCAGCCTCCCACTTTCCCCTTCCTCACAGTTTAGCAGGCAGAGGACCAGAAGATGCTGTGGCTGCCCTGCAGACTGACAGGAGGTGGGAAGGCAGCAGCTCGCTCAGCTCACCCCTCCTGCCCTCCAGGGTATGAAGGATCTGACACAGCGGAAGGAAGATAAGCCCGATGAGAGCCCAGCTGCCGGCACTCCCCGCCCCAGGGGAAAGGGATTTTGTTTGCAGCAGCTCCAGGGACGCTTTCGCAGCAGAGGTAAAACCCACCCAGAGCTGAGGGATGCCCCTGGCACTCTGCGGGTCTGGGAACCGGAGGTCTCGTGGGCACCCAGGGGCAGGTGGAGATCTGTGGGTGCAGCCACAGATGCTTCGGCCTGAGGAAACCTCTTAAACTTTTGCTTTTACCCTCCCGGAGCCTTCAAACCGTGGAGTCACCCTGTTTGCTTGGACTTGGTGCCCTCTCCTGACAGCCGCTCAGAATTCAACCGGGACGGCAGCTTTCAGAAATTACACAAGGTATGACACAGGCTGGTGGGGAAGAAGACACCACCCAAGCAGTTCACCACTTGTTCACCACTGTGGGGGTATCTGAAAGCAGCAGAGGGCTGCAGCAGCGCTCAGGCAGATGGGCTCAGGTGTCGGCAGGGCTTGTGCCCGGGAAAGGGAGAGGGGAGATATTTTTTTAATTGCACAAAATAAATTTATTTTATTTTGTCGCTTATTCAGAGCAAGAAATGGAAAGGGCGGGAAAAAAATCACTCTGCATTTACCATTAGGATTTAGGTGTTTACTTGCACAACTTCACACTCCTCCAACCTTCATTTAGTGAAAACATATATTTCTTTACTCAGGGAAAGCTCAAAAAGGGTTTTCCCTTCTAAAAGTCTATAGAAGGAAGAGAAAAGCATCCAGAGTTTTCCTTTAGTACCTGCTGGGTGGCCCCATGAGTCTCTGGCCTCAGTGGAAGATGTCGATTTGGGCAACTGAGCACCCCGCAGTGAGAGTGGGAGAAAGTCTCCCGCTTCATCCCTGTGTCAGCTGCCCCAGGAGGGACTGTCCCAGCAGGAAGAGGTGCCGCTCCTGCCCTCGGGCTCCTAAAGGATAAAGCCACCGCCTGAACAGGGGCTTGAACCCTGGACCCTCAGATTAAAAGTCTGATGCTCTCCCAACTGAGCTATCCAGGCTCACATTTTGGGTACGGGGGGATGTCCATGACACGCAGTGGGGACCCCACTTTGCTGCAGCGCTTGGAAGGGCCATGTGGGGACCCGCTTTGACCTCTCCCGCCCCCACAGCACCCCAGCGAGGCTGCCAGAGCACACCGGGCTGAACCCGCGGCTCCCGGGAATCCCGCTGGCGGGCGCTGATCCGGCACAGGGATGCGCGCTGGGAAGATGCGGGTGCCGCGGGGATGCGCTGGCAGGGAGGGGGGCAGGATGATGCGGGAGCAGCTGTAAAACCTCCGCCGCTCCCCAGAGCTCCCAGAGGGAGGCGGGAGGGTCCTGCCGTGGGAGAGGAGCGGGGAGGGGATGTGACCGTACAGGGAGGCACGACTGCTCTGCGCTAGGGGGGGGTTCTCGCTCGGGGCTGGGATCGCACAGCGGTTTGGGGTATCTGGAACCTCCAGCAGCCGGGAACTGTGGGATCCCAGGGCCAGGTGCCTTCAGGGGGTTGCTGGGAGGATGCTGCATGGGCCAGCTTGGGCAGGGGGTCATGGAACAGGGACAGTGCACAGGGTGGCACTGGAGAATGTGGTGCTGTCACTTGACACAAGGGGCTGCTCAGATGTGTCTTCACTTGTCCCAGCCTCACTATCTTTTCCCAGGTGCCTGGGGTCCACCTGGCCACGTTGGCAGCACCAGCATCCCCTGCCAAGGGCAAGAGGAGCAGAGATGGGCTGTATTCCCCCAGGCGGGGAGGGAGCAGCCCTGGGCAGCCCTGTGGGGTTACCCCCAGAGCACCATTCAGGGGATAGAACGTGGCAGCCACCACCCCAGCACAGGGCAGAGGGACACTGAGGCACTGGAAGCTGCTCAACGTGTGGTACCCCCGAGCAGGGCTCCTGGGGCACGAAGAGCCCCTGGGCACCGCTGGACTGGCCCTGGCAGGGCATGGCTTGTCCATAAGGCCAGTCCTTTGTCCCTCCCGGTCCCTCCTCCTCCTCACGGCCGGCCCCTTGCAGCTCTCCCCTCCCCTGCAGCCCCGGGTGCCTCTTGGCTGGACCTGCGTTAAAATTATAAAAGGCTGTTTGGCCTGGAGCCGTCCGGAGGATCCCGGCCGAGCCTGCCATGGGGAGCAGCGGCGCCGGGCTCGCTCTGCTGACGCTGCTGCTGCTCCTGCAGCCCACGGCACAGTTCTGGCTCTTCAATGTCCTCTTTCCACCCACCACCACCCCGGAGGCTCCCCCGACCAACAGCACCCCCCCCGTGGTACTCGGTAAGGTCACGCCAGCACGGGCGGCACGCGGGGTGCGGGGTGGGCGCCGTGGGTGCTGTGCAGCCCCCCCAAAAGCAGACAGGGAGAGGTTGGGGTGCTGCCCTGCTGGTCACTCAGTGGGATTTTGGCTGCGGTGGCTCTTGGCTGGCTGGAGTTGGAGCCACCAAGGATGGTGGTGGCAGGGGGGTGACACACGGCTCCTCAGTCCCCTCCCATTCACCGGGTTGGGTACACAGGGCTGGCCATGCCCAGCCAGAGCTTTCTGGAGCTGAGGGGACAGGCTGGGCACCTCAGGAAGCAGATGGGGCTCTGTTATCTCACATCTGGCCCAGAGGGTTTGCTTGGGTCTGGGGGAACTTTGCTGGGACAGGGGCTGCAGCACACCCTTCTCTGCCACTTCCCAAAGCGGCTGCTGCTGGTGCAGTGGGTGTATCCAGCACTTCCCACTTCCCTGAAGTGTTCATCCTGTGTTCTTCTCCCGATTCCTGGTGATAGCTAAATTCTCCTCTGTTGCTGCAAAAGGGCATCCATCTCACATCCCACCCAACACCAACCCTGCCTGAGGGCAAGCCAGCAGGAAAAGGAGCACAGGAAGATGAAGGGAGAGGTGGGGGGTATCACCTCAGGGAGGTGGGAGCAACTACCACCTGCTGGTACCTCCCTCCTGCACGGTTCTGCCTTCCTTTGCCCCTGTGCCATCGCCAGGCACCTGAGCTCAGGTTTTGCCATAAAACCTTTGCTGAGCAGAGTTGGGGTTTTTTTCCTCCTTTTTCTTGAATCATGCTGAGTTTCCCCTTTAAAAAAGAGAAGAGAAAAAGCAGAAGATCCCTCCCTGCCACAGTGCCAAGGCTGACCCTGCAAACTCCCTTCCCAGAGGCATCAGGGAGTGGGGAACAGTGTCTTGATCCTCCATGTCCTGGATGGGCAGTAGAGCCGGGTTGCTGTCACCAGGTACCCGTTTTCAGGATTACCTGTGATGGTCAGAGCACCTCCTCTTGTCCCCCAGTGCCAGCCCCAGGGCCTGTCCCACGCCCATCTGGATCTGGCTGCCCCCTGTGCTGCTCGGCATCCGCAAGTAACCCATCCCCCTGGGCCGGGCGTCCCGGAAACCCCCAGTGCCCTTGGGACTGCCGATAACCCCTCTGCCCCCCACAGGAACTCCCTTAATAATTACCTAATGTCCTCTGGAAGGGGAGGCAGAGCTCAGGGCTGTGTGCCAGGGGCAGGGGAGTGCTGGCTGTGCACCTTAAGAGCCATCAGA